TTACACCTTTAATAATTATTACACAAATTTTCAAGTACAAATTCATTGCCAATCGCTTGATATCACCAAATCCTTAATAGATGCTTTTGAAAGTCAAAACCAAACTGGAAACTTGAAAATTCAGATCCCAAGTTCTAGCCATTCAAATAAGCTCAAAATTTGGAAGTACAAAACTTACACATTTGATCATCATTATAAAAATTTTCAGCTACAAATTTGTTGCAAATCGATTGATATCACCAAATCCTTATTAGGTACTTTTGAAAGTAAAAACCCTAAATACTTGAGAACAAATTTCACCATTTTTTCCAAATCAAAGTTTCAATTGACTTGAAATTTTAGACATAGGATTTTTATATCATAAGTAATATTTACACAAAAAAAGAGCTTCAAATTCGTCTTGAAGCTCAAGTTCTAGCTTAAAACCAAAACCCTCTATTTCTCTAATTTCTTCAAAACCCTAGTTTTAGTTTGTTGGTTTGAATCAGTCATATCTCATTCATTCTAGATTCACTTCTATTGATTCTTATACATATAATGTTCAACTTAAAGTCTAGTTTCTAACCCAACTCCTTGATTTCTTGCTAGTATCTTAAAACTCCTAATATGCATGGAAAAGTGATAGTAGTTATCAAATTAGTATCCTAAGTTTAAAGAAGCATATCTCTCTCATCTAAGTTCTAATTCATGCATTTTTTCTACCTAAATTCATGCCAAGAAGCTTCTCTCTCCAAATACTTCTTTTCAACTTTCAAAAAAATACACCCTCCTTACTTTTGAGCTCACCAAAGAAGTCGCAGCCAAGGTCTTTTAAGTCCAAGTCAAAAACTAATAGTTTAAAGTTAAACAAACACCAAATCTAATCCTCCAAGTCAACACTATTAATGGCAGCCAACTAATTCTATCCAAAATCCCATTTATCTTTAATTAAAACCTAAATACAACATCAAAGTTGAAGTTCTTATATCTACAAATATAACTCTGGATCTACTAAAATCAAAGATTAGAAAGAAAGTAAAAGGAATAAAAGAAGTTTTCAAGACTAAACCAAAGATAAAGTTAAGGTTAAAGATAAAATAAAGTTTATCCAAAATTTCAAATAATAAAAAGAAAGAAAGTGAGAAAATTTCTCCAAAACTATAGAAAAATTAGATTGGTAAGAAGAAAAAGAACTTAATAAAAGTTCAAAGAAAAATAAGTCAAGCAAGGTTTCCATACATAAATGTATTTACATCATGATACCGTACTTATTTTTTTTGTAGCAAACATCCTAAGATATATACTTGACAATCCAAAATGAAATATATAAGGTCTCAAACTATTAGACAATTCTATAATCAACAAACAAATATTTGTTGATAACATAGCCTTATTCTCAACCAACATCCTAGAAAACCTCATAAAAGCAATGTTAATATTAAATAGATTTTGTGAAGCTTCTTACGTCAAAGAAAATTAGCATAAAACATATCCTACATGAAAAATCTTACATGAATAGACGTGGTAATGGAATAAAGAATTGAACTTGATTTCAAAAATAGAAGGTCAATTTGTAAAGTATCTTGGTTTTTTTATTGGTTACACAATGATAGATAAAGATCAAAACAACAAGATGTTGTAATAACTTATAAAATACCTATTCAAATAGGGTTCCAAAACAATTTTATTTCCAAGTTGGATTTAGTTATCAATTAAGTCATATTGATGTCCATTTCATACCTAGTATAATGCGTCAGCCTTGAAAACAAAGTCTTTATCAAAATATGCACTTTAATCTATAATTATTTGTGAAGAGGTATCATAAATGGTATAAAAAGAACCAAATCTAAGTGGAATATTATTTCAAAATCCATGCAAATTAGAGGATTTAAAATTTTTAATCCAATAATCCAAGCAAAGGCCCTCTCAGCCAAATTAGTGGCATATAGCCTCACACTAAGACTAAAACTTTAAAAGGTATTGATTCAACATAGAATAGATGTGACTAGATGGAAATATTATGGGACATGGCACCCTAGCAAGCACCAAATGGTGGGCAATAATATACTTGTTAATATAATTGGGTCACAATTATGAAAAAATACATACAAAGCCTTACAAAGTGTGTTAACCGATTTCACTCTCTTTCCACCAAAGTACTATAATAAAATCTTTTTTCAACTAACTTGTAGCAATCTCAAGTTAGTAGATATGAAAAAAGTATATAGTGATCAAACAAGGATGATAGATTGAAATAGTGGTTGAGGAAGGGAGTTCATTTTATGTAGGACATTTAGAATGAAGATCAGCAAGACTAATTTACATCCATTAGATTCTACAATCAAACATGTAGCCAAAATGTAGAGCTATAGTATTATCAACTAATCTATAACATCCCTTAGAATCCAAATAATTCACTTCCATATTCAATAAAAGAATAAAAGAGCTCAAAAATTTGAGGCACCATTGTATAAGTTTATCATATATAAGGCCCTGAAGATGGAGTACTAACATACATTAAATATATTATATTAAATTTGAAAGAATTTGAACCAATATACGAAGAACTACTCCAAATTTGAATAAAAAAATTATAATGTGTCCAAATAGCTATTAAAAATAAAAATAAAAATATGAATGCATTGACTTCAATCCATACGGCCCAATTTTTTGGCTACAAACACCATGGCTAGCTAGCAATTGGCCTATCTAGTCCATTACCTTCAAATTTGCCAAATGAATGTAGATAAAGCAAAGAACTCAAAAATTTGGACCATTTATAACTATACAATCCAAAAAGAATAACAAATAAGCAGCAAGGGTATGTTTGCACTACTTAAAGAGGATAGTCTCTTATGTAAAAATAATTATACCAATGTCCTAGTATAAGATCTTTTATAGATTACTATGGCACCTCTAGCTCCTTTAAAAAGTGACAACTATTAAATGGCTCATCTTGGCAAAAGAAATCCCAATAGGATATTGACAAAGGATTATAGGTATGGACTTCTACTGCAAACTATGCAATATTAGAAAAAAAAAAAGACGATGCAAAATGCATTTTTGAACTGCATTGCTATTTATTCAACTTGAAAATAATTCAATGTTCTTTAGAAATCAATCTTACTAAAACCAATCAGTGATTAGATTGATGTGCTCTACAGCAGCCTTGATTCGATAGCTCTAATAGAAGATACAAATCTCACCTCAACAATATATGTTTTTAAATAGACCTCTTAGACCATTTTAAAGACCTTGATCTTATAGAGGACTTGCTACACTAAATGTAACTTTGACAAAGACCATGACTAATTCTACATTGACCAAATCTTCTTTAAAGCCTAGAAGACAACAATACAAATAAAGTAAGAATCTTAGAGGAAACCACATTGCCAACTCTTAAGAAAATATTACCAAAAAGTGACATTACTTACTACAATTTGAATAAAGCTTTTAATTTGTACAAGCTATGATCCTCTCATATAGAAAATGGTGCAACCTCCTTAATTTATCTTGGAAGAACTAGCCATCCATTCCTTTCCAAAACAAAGATGAGCCACAATTGACACCTCATCTTACATTACATATTACTATAGAGGAGTTATTCACCTTTGTGGACTATTGCCAAATGACACAACTAGAAGCCACAATCTAGAAACAAAAAATTCAGCAAACAAATAGTAAAGAGGTTCTTTACCAAATTGACAAAGCGTCAATTAGAGCTACATTTGTTGGTAAGCAGCAATGGCAAAATAACCACCAAAGTTACAACAAATATCAACAATTGATATTAACAATCCAACAATAATTCTAACAATATACTTATGGTCTATTTATAAACTTGGTATTTTGATTGGTCTATCTTTTACTAAGACCAACTAGATCACAACCTAGTCCAATCTCCCTCTCTCTACACAAACTAATGTGTAATTTTGGAAAGTAGCCAGTTAATTTTTAATTGCTAAAAATATTATTTAATTACTTACTTGACCCCTTCCTAGCTTATATCCCATCATCATTCCTTCTTGACATTCCTTACTTGCTTTACCTTGCCTTCATTCTCATGCTTGTTTACATTGTTTCCTTACCATATATACAAGTAATATGAAGTATTCTACATTTTGTGAACATGTGGAATTTCACATCATGCTTTCATTTGTTTGGCATTTTGATTTTGATTATTCCTTTATGCTTTTCTACATAAAAGAGGACCAATAGCACCAATTTGAGAAAATGAAAAGTTTGTACAAATAATGAGATTATGCAAATTTCTCATCTCATAAATTACATGCATTGATAAAATGGCCGAAAAATTCTCACATCGACCGAAAAATTCCAATATCTCTGTTAGCCTCTCTCCATTTCGCTGCTGCTTGATACAAAGCAAGAACCCAGGGTTCCAAATCCACTAATCATGTCTCCTGAATTTCTTTGTCTGTCAATAACCGTGTTTTTGTCCTTATGCTCTTAATTGCCATGTGACATCACTGCTGAAGAATTTTGTCATCCAGAGAGCTCTAGCTAGAAGGTTGGTGCCTGTAGGTAAATGGGAGGTAAGCAAAGATGATGGGACTCAGAAAGTTCTCGAGATCAGTCAAACTAGAAGTTTGCACATACTCCACAGAAGCGGTATCCAGCAGTCAATCCTGAAGCAACCCATACAAAAATGAACAAGGACTTAATTGTATGAGTACCTGACTTCAGTCCATTGCATGATCTGTGATCCTTAGAGACACTCTACATCGGGTAGGACCTCCAAATCCTTGTGCTGAAACTGTCATCACTTGTAACAGTGGCTTTGTTTCATTTAGGATCTATTCTCAGTGGTGGTTAAGATTTCCACGAATACAATCAAGGCTCAGACAAGTTTCAACAAACAGGAGTTATAACCAAAATATAGTGGCATTCAACCAGATGATATAGAAAAGACAATCACAAAACCCAGACCTTGCACAAGCCAGTGTGATGGCAGTTGAAACAGTGTGCAGACAACTCTTGAGGATGGGCAGTAGTTGCACTACTTTGCAAGAATATTCGTAAAACCACTGAATTTAAGTATGCATATTACAGATATTCAGCACATATACCATTTCAGCTCTGGCTGGTTGACTTTGCCAAGATCTACGAATTCATGTTTGCAGTCAAGTGCCTGCATCAAGTTTTGAATCAATGTTAAATTTTTCGAACTTGTGTAGACCTTCACTGCCAATCTAGCATAATACAAATATATGATTTTAGAAAAAAAATTGAAACTACTAATTCGATCTAATTAATCCAATGAAATAGACCTAGAAATAACTGAATTGTTCCAGTAGTGTTTCCAGCTGTAAAATGGCAGGAATGCCACTTGAATTTTACATTCGTAAATGTTGGAATATGACACTGCACTACCTATGCTCAGTTGCAGGTATCATATGGTTATTTTCTAAACATGAATAAACTTCAGTTGTTAAATTTATTTCAGGCCTCTCAGATGTGACATTGACTCCTTTACTTGAATTCATTTGCTTTCGGACAGCCTCAGCAAGCTCACAAATGTCCGCATCCACACAATCTGTAGCAAGAAACTTGCGATTAAAGGCAATCAACCTCAAATTAAAAGCGTGATTCAGGTCCTGATTAACACAATGCAACGCTTCCAAAAAATCCAAAAACAGGATGCCCTCTTTGCACAATGTCATGAAGCTAAAAGATTTGAAATTATTGATTAGGTGAAGTGCCTTCGTTGTGAGCTAGCCAAAAATTCCAACCTCGTGGAAGTTGAGGGCAGAGAAATTAGTATTGATAAAACATACCAAGTTCATGCAGACACTCTTCCAGACGAAATAAGTATTCATAATTCGGTCCAGATGGACCCACTGCTCGAGCAATTTGTCTGCACAGGTCAGATGGAATCAAAAGTTGACAGCACACATGATCAAGTCTCATATTTCAGCCTGCTACCACCAAGCTGAGCTTTCCCCTCTGTATGAAATGAAGCTGCGTGAGGTTAATGTCTTACTTTGCCATCTCGTCCAAGGGTGCAGGTCCCGCCCAGAACCTATTCTTAAACTTGTCAGAAGAACCAATATACCTGCAGATGAGAGCAATTCTTCTTTTCAGAGGAAAGGCGTAACATCTTCAACCAGAACTATCTGCTCAAATGAAGTAAAAGCAGAAAGAGTTGCGACGATAAATACTCACACAAGAACATTGCAGACGGTCGGTGTCTCTAAACAATCCGCCTGCAGAAAGAAAATAAAAACCCGAGTGTAAGGATCCAGATTAAATAAAAATCCAAAACCAACTTCTGTGTATTCTAATCGAAAAGCAAGTAAGTGCACTGAATACTCTTCTTTCCTTCACTTCTGAAAAAGTGATTTGATTTAGAAGCTAAATGAGGCATTTGCAGCGAAAGTAGACGCAAGTTATAGACAAACGACATTCTCAAACGGATTAACTGATGAATTCAGATGATCGCGAGTTGTGAAGAATTGCACACACCGTATAAAAGTTGACATGCTCTTTTTGATCATATTCTTGTTCTCTGAGATCCAAATACTGGCCAAGTAACCACGACATGCAAGTCCAAAACAACGAGCAACAGTCAATAGATTGATGTTGAGAAACATCCTACCATTCCAACTTAGAAGACAAAGGAGAGCGAATGCTTAAGATATTTTTGCAGATTTATTGACACAAATGCAATTAAAAAAGAGGTTGAATTGTACAGATAGAACAAGTGCCTCCTTATCATCACCGGATACTCGGTATGCAGCACCCCACTGCAACATTGGAAAAAAAAAAGCAATAAAACAAAAAAAAAAAAAATCAAAATCAAACAATATGATCTTCAGATAAAAGTTATCAATAGTTGTAAGATTCTCCCGACCCCCCCCCCCCCCCCCCCATGTGTAAACTGCAGTAACTACTAAACACAATCACAAAAAAGTAGAACAAGCAAAGACATCATCCTTCATACCCTTCTCTACTGAAACCTAGAATCAACACCATCAAACGTCAAGTTAATAGATAGAACTCACTGTGATTGCCCCCTCGATTGCCTCTAGCGTCACAACACGTCCAGGATATGCAGCTGTGCCTCGGTGATCTGTGTTGGCTGTAGATTGCATGCATAAAAGAATTAGAAGGGAGTTAATTCAAGATAACAAAAGGTGGTCCTGCCTAAG